GTATTGAATTTTAAGCGGTGTGCGCTCGTGTATGTCTGCCCTTTTTATTGCAGCCAATCGCACAACGTAGTTCATCATTAGGTTAGTTGAGAGCGGTGCCATTGGTTCTGCATGCATTATGCCTAAACCAATGATTACAGTTTATAATTTTCACATTCTTACCAATATATGTTTATATATGTGTGTGTGCGTGTGTGAGTATGTACGTACGTATGTATGTATGTTTGTAAATAAATAAATTTGCAAATCAAATCACCCAGTCCGTCTGATTCATTGGTCAATTGTAAAATTTTAACAAACATAAAGTACTATTTTCACGTAGGAAAAGGAATAAGACAATTGAGAGGTTTAGAAAGAAATCACAGATAAATAAAACTGGCTAATAAGCTACCGTCACTTGTCCGAATAGACTGTATTAATGCCTCCGATGATAATACAGTACATCAAGGTAACATGATGCAAATTCACTCAAATGACGTTTTAGCTAATGCTAGATCTGAGTCATTGAGTGTTGACGATGAGGATAAAGATGACGTTTTTGATGTAATTATAAAGCTAAGAAAAGAACTACTTGCTTCAGATAGTGATAGATTTATACAACATGTTAGTGAGTCGTTATGCATCGTTTCATATTCATACAAACAGGTTCAAGTTGCTAAACGAACCAAAAAAAAGAACATATTGCCTGTGTTGTATTTTGATTCGACAGGATCGGTGATAAGAAGGACCAGCTCAAAGCAGAAGAGAATTTTTCATTACACTGGTGTTATTTCAATAGATAATAGAATAATTCCAATGATCGACTTTGTAACATGTAGGCACGACGTGTATCACATAAATCAAGTACTTATTGACTATAAGCACTACGTCTCAAAAAAATTGAAAGAATGGCCTTTGTATTCGAATGTTGTAACCGATTTTTCTATGGCACTTATTGAGGCTGTTTTGAAAGGATTTAACACGATGGAAATTCCGACGTATTTGAATATGCAATGAAATGGGCAACCAGTGACGTCATTCCTATTAAAATTGTACAAGTGAAATTGTGTTGTTGTTATTTTATTAAAATAGTAACCAGAGAGATGCTTAAACACACAAAATTTAAACCGGATTTTAGTTACCATTTTACATACGTTAAAAAAATACTCAAATTTACGGTTATGTTGAACATCAAAAAATAACACCAAGCAAATAGTTAATTAATTCAAATATATAAATAAGTAGTGTGATATGCCAAATTCTGTTATCAAAGATCAGCTTATTATTTATGCATAACCCGTGTTATAGCATAAAGAAAACTGACCAGCTCACCTCACAATTAGTGATGTTGTTATTATGTGCCATGTATGCACATGCACACTTGCACAGCTTATAATTTATGCAAAACCCATGTTATAGCACAAAGAAAATTGTCCAGCTCACCTCACAATTAGTGATGTTGTAATTATGTGTCATGTATGCCTAGCCTAACCTTTAACATACCATGTTCTTAAATTATGCGCTTATGTCTATATATATAAATAATATGTAGATATATGATCCATTATATACAATTATATAGTATATACACGTGCACAAGTTCTTTTACACAAAGATCAGCTCATAATTTATGCATAACCCATGTTATAACATAAAGAAAATTGTCCAGCTCACCTCACAATTAGTGATGTTGTTATTATGTGTCATATATGCTTAGCCTTCAACTTATTGACGTAAAATTAATTGAATTCAATAAAAAAATTTCTATTTATAACATTTTTAAATGTTGATAGACGCTTAAATCCGGCCCCGGTGGCCGGATTTAAGCTGGATTTTAACCGGGGCCAAACTTCGGTGCATCCCTAATTTCAAGTATATGTAGTTAATATAAATTTTTCAAATTATTTATTTATTGCTAATGATTAATAAATAGAATTGAGTTTCTATAACTGTTAACTATCAATCAATCAACCAATCAATTAGCTTATAAAGCGCTATTTCCGCGATGTTCAATAGCGCTCCTCAATGAATTTTGAAAACAGATGGGTCTTGAGATCCGCTCTGAACTTTGCAAGTGATGGAGAAGTAGTCAGAGAAGTAGGTAGAGAGTTCCAGAGAAAAAGACCAAAAAAAGCAAATGCAGATTTGGCAAAAGAGTGTTTAACACGAGTTAGGAAAAAGCGAGAAGAAGACGATCATAAACCGGGGCGTTTAGGTTCAATTAGTATATCTGATAAATTGTCATTGTCGTTGTGGTCGTTGTTGTTGTGGTTGTTGTTGTTGTGGTTGTCGTTATCGTTGCAGTTGTGGTTAAGATTTGTTTAGCAATAAGATTGAAATGTGAAAGCCCTTGTGGTTGTGGTTAGGGTTGTGGTTGAGGTTAGGGTTGTGGTTGAGGTTAGGGTTGTGGTTAGGGTTGTATCAAAGATTTTAATAACCTTAATGCGTCTAATACCAACTTGTCGATAAACAATAAAACACTAAGAAACTACAATTAAATATTTTTAATAATAGTTTATTATCAACGTTTCGGCTATGTGCCTTCGTCAGGATTTGAAATGGAATGAGTGAAGATCATGCTTAAATACTAGTATGAGATTGTAAAATGAAAGTTATAAAGTTGAAAGTTATAAAATTAAAAGGCTTTGCTGGTTATAATCCTTGCTGGTTAGAATTGCTGGCTCCTAATTGGTTGTAAATTTGCGTGTGAGTTTTTATTGGATGAACTTTGCTCGCTCTATGCTCGCTTTAATTGGTTGTAATTATGCTGGCTCGCTCTAATTGGTTATAAATTTATCGGTGAATTTATAACTGTTAGATTCCTGCATACTTCTAACCGTGTGTATGTTTTGTTGCATTGTTGTGTTGAGATTGATTCCTGCATTCTTCTAACTGTATGTATGATTCGTTCGTGATTCGTGTTGAGATTGAATGGTTTTGCTGGTTGCGTTCATTGGTTGTTGTAATTCTTGCTGGCTTCTGATTGGTTGTAAATTTGCATGCAGACAGCTTCGCTGGCTCTTCCTTGACTATAACCATGATAGCTCGCTACTAATTGGTTATAATCATGCTTGTTAGGATATTGCATTACTATAACCATGCTCGCTCTTTGGTTGGTTACAATCAGGTTGGCCCGCTCGGTTGTGTTATTTGTTGCCTTATGTGTTATTGTTTTATGTGCTGCTATATTTTACCGAATAAATTTCTGCCCAGGTTTCTTTGTATTTTGTGTGCTATTGTAATTTGATTTTCATTGTGGATGATGTTGTTTTTGATCATGGCCAGATGAATCTTGTGGTAAATGGTTGTCAACGTGGGGCAGTACGGTCTGATCAATATGTATTCCTTGTTCTTTTTTTCTTGTGGTTTGTTTGCCTTCTGTACCTGTGTGATTGGTTTTAAATTATTATAATTATTACTAACCTTTTTAAACGTTTTCTTCATCTTTTGTATCTTGTATCCGCGGATCTTGAGTTTGTTCATCAACTTGAAGCTGGCTTCCTTGAATTGTGTAAATTCCGAGGATATGCTGGCGTACCTTACAAACTGCGAGTATATAATGGATTTGAAGATGTGTGGGGGGTGGAAGGAATCATGATGGAGGAGGTCGAACGTGTTGGTGGTTTTAAAGTACGGTTTCGTCATTATGAATGGCGAATGGGGTAACCCCTTATACACCGTTACATCAAGAAATTCGACCTCCTCCATGTCATGTTTGAAGTTGATCTTGATTCCCTCAATTATCCCATTCGCTCTTCTCATCACCTCTCCCAGTTTTTCCATTGATCCGTTGAACAGGAAGAAAATGTCGTCAATGTATCTTTGGTATTTGATTACGTCCGGGAATTCGTTGTTAATAATGACATCCAGCTCATCCAGGTATATGTTGGCCAGTGTGGGTGAGAATATCTTACCCATGGCACAGCCATCTATCTGGAGATATTGCTGCCCATTGAACGTGAAGTCATGGTTGCTAAGGACCATCTCTAATGCTTCAATGGTAAACCCATTGAATTTGTTGTCAGGTAGGTACCTCCTCAATGCTTCCCTAGTTACACTAACTGATCTATGGTTCTTCATGTTAGTGTACAGGCTGGCAATGTCAGCTGTGACAAGTATCTGACTCTTGTTCGTGAGGGTGGTAGCCATCCTTCTAACAAATACTCTGGTGTCCTTGACTACGTATTTCAGGGTTTTGTTGAGTTGTTTGAGCTGGATTTCAATGAACTCCGACAAGGGCTGGTTGATGGAGGCCATATCGCTGATGATCGGTCTTCCCTTGGGTGTGGTGTCATTGATCCACTCATGCTTCTCCTTATGTACCTTGGGTAAGGTATAAAAGTATCTATCCCTTGGATTGTCTGGTGGTGCCAAATCCATCATCATCTTCTTATTGAGGATTCTAAGGGCTCTGTATTTGAGCAGGAGGGTCCAGATATCCTGTCTGTTGTCAATTGGATGCTGAATCTTTTTATAGAATGTTTCATCATTCAATTGTCCCTCAGCCTCTTGTACATAGTCCTGCTTATTCATTATGACACATATGCTCCCCTTATCAGCTTTCCTTATAACAATATCTTTGTTTGACAGTAGTTCTTTGAGGGCCTTTCTTTCTCCCCTATTGATGTTGGATTTTCTCAGGTTTGTATTGATGTACTCCCCTCTCCTTTTACTCACCCATTCATTCTTTATACTTGATATCTCTTCTATTGTTGCGATGCAATTATTCGATAGCTTCGATGTAGGTGGCACCCAACTGGTTTTGAAATATCTCTTGTAGTCTGATAGGTATGGGTTTGTATTTTCTGCGTTATCCTTATTGTTGTTGAAGTAATCTTTTAGTTTTATACTTCTAATCATCTTGTCAATGCCCTCTATTACTTCTGTTGTCTTGATGCTTCTAGGGGTGCATATGAATCCTAGTCCTTTATTTAATAAGCTCATCTGATCCTCTGTAAGTAGATGTCCAGAAATATTCATGATATTAGATTGATTACGCTCCATATGTGGACGCGTATTCTTTACAGGTTTTTTATATTGTATAGAGTGCAATGGTTGACTCTGTATGCTTCCATGAACGATCTGATGCATGTGCACTGTTCCTCGTTCCTGCATGCATTATTCAATATATTTTGCCTTCTCATGAATGATTTCAGGAGTGGATGTGGATCCTTCTTTATGTTCTCCTTGTTGCAGTTGGCATCCTGGAACGGGAGGATATGTTTGACAATATCCACCGACATCTGTCTATTCTGCTCCTTAGGGGATGGGTTTATGATTATATTTTTATAAACAAGATAGCCATCTATCACCCTAGTGTCATTATCCAGGGAGAAGGCTATCCTCTTTTTTAATTCATCCGTCCCCTTGAGGCAACTGAATATGATAGTGTTGTTCCCTTCCTTGGTTTTGCGGCCTAGGGAACTGGTTGGGATGGGTCTCTTGACTGCTCCCCTCGTGGTTGGAGGTATGTAGTTAGAAGACTCATCCTCCGGTTCCATTTCGTTTTCATTCAGGTCTCTGAGGAATTCCTGTGTTGGAAGAAAGAAGCTGTGTAATGTGGTTAGTTTAGTAACCTCCTCACCCCTTCCCTCCTCTTCCGAGTCACCCCCCGTTGTGCCTCTGTCATCAGGGTTCGTGTCCCTAATTACAGTGCTTACGGGTGGTGTTTCAGGGTTGGGGTTAGGGGTGGGGTTGGGGTTAGGGGTGGGGTTGGGGGTGGGGTTGGGGTCCGGGAGGTTAGCAATTGGGGCTCCCATTGCTAAGTCCCGGATAGGGGTACCCGGGTTGGGGTTAGGGGTAGGGTCCTGTTCCAGTGCTGACTGTGTGTTCCCTCCTTCCTCCCGTGCTCGTCTGGGTGTCTGTGCCAGGTGCGGGTTGTGGGTCCTTCCCGGGGTTACGTCCCTGTCGGTTTGTTGTTCACTATCCACTCCCCTGGTCCGCGGTTGGTCCTCCGTTTGTTGCTGGTTGTCCACCCTAATAGTTTGTTTCGTTTGTTGTTGTTTGTTAACCTTCTTCTTTGGGGGGGCTTCTTCAGTTTGTGTACCCTTGTTGACCATTTGGTGTTTGTACTTCTGACGCTCTGCTGCGATGGCCGGTTAGAATCATTATTCCTCCTTGCCCTCTCTATTCGTTCCGTGATGTCCTTGAGGCAGGAATCCAGTCTCTTGATAGTCCTATTGTCATTGAGGGCCTTTTTATTATTGCCAAATAGGAAAGTGATCCTTCTTTTAAGTTCGTTGGTGTTACTTATTTTAAGTAACTCCTCGTCCTTAAAAGTTATCTCACTTTCAATCTTTTTCACCATGTGGTCCAGATGCTCCGTCATGGTAGTTCTGATTTGGTTGTACGTGGCAACTGTTATCTCCCTGATTTTATCAGTGAGTATTCCATCCTTGCCCGGTGGGTTAATCCTTTCACCCATCTTTTCGAGGCTGTTTTTGACCGAGGTGGCATTATCATCAGTCCAGTTGTCCCTATGCCAGTGGGCTTGAACGTATTTGAATATCATCTTGCCCACGTTGACTACAGCCTCAAATTCATCTTTGGGTAGTTGTTTATGTGTCTCCTTGGTTGTGTTATGTTTTTGGTTGCCCTGTTTGTTTGTCAGTATAGATTTTACTGGTTTGTTGTTGTTTGTTGTAGTGTGGTTCTGTGGTTTGTTGCTTGTTGTTTTATTCGTCTGTTTGTCATTTATTGTTGTGTTCTTGTCTTTAGTTGTTGTATTTTTCTCTTGTGTCTTGTTGACTGGTATGCGTTCGTTTTGTTTTCTTTGTGTGTTATACGTACGTTCATTCCTGTCCCTGTTGATTGCATAGTTTACATGGTGCACCCTGGCATGGGGTTCCCGGTAGTTATGATCACGGGTGTGTACCATTTCCCTATGTGGTATCTGGTATCTCCTTGATTCATGCCTGTACGGGATCCTTTCCCATCCATCATGCCCCTGTCTATGCATTGCGGGTCTGTCATGAACGTACCTATGTACATCTCTGTCATAATTCGATCTCCACTCATTCGATCGGTCCCTATATTCGCCGCGTCGATCCCTGTAACGGGTTTCGTCACTGCGTGGATATAGGACCGCATCCCTATATGTCCAATTGTTGTACGGCATTATGTTGGCGTAAACGATATCGATATCAAAAAAAGCAAATGCAGATTTGGCAAAAGAGTGTTTAACACGAGTTAGGAAAAAGCGAGAAGAAGACGATCATAAACCGGGGCGTTTAGGTTCAATTAGTATATCTGATAAATTGTCATTGTCGTTGTGGTCGTTGTTGTTGTGGTTGTTGTTGTTGTGGTTGTCGTTATCGTTGCAGTTGTGGTTAAGATTTGTTTAGCAATAAGATTGAAATGTGAAAGCCCTTGTGGTTGTGGTTAGGGTTGTGGTTGAGGTTAGGGTTGTGGTTGAGGTTAGGGTTGTGGTTGGGGTTGTGGTTAGGGTTGGGATTAGGGTTGTGGTTAAGGTTGGGATTGTGGTTAGGGTTTTGGTTATGGTTAGGGTTGGGGTTGTGGTTAGGGTTATATCAAAGATTAAGAGCCTTAATGCGTCTAGTACCAACTTGTCGTCAAACAACGAAACAGTAAGAAACTATAATCAAATTTGTTTATAATATTTTATTATTCAACGTTTCGGCTATCCGCCTTCTTCAGGAATTATTTACAAATGAATGGAGATCATGATTATATACTAAATTGCAGTTGTAAAAAATGAAAGTTATAAAAATCCTAAGGTAATAATAATCCACTATGCCGGTTGTTATAAAGTCGACTTGCTGGTTGTTATAATCTTGACTTTACTGGTTGCGCCTATGCTCGCTCCTAATTGGTCAGATTATTGCATGCACAGTTCTATTGGATCTACTTTGCTCGCTCCTAATTGGGTGTATTATCACTTGCAAAGTTTAATTGGTTATAATCAACGCCATCAGAATTTTGCAAAGTTTGTTTAGATTTTATTTCGCTGGTTTGCGAAGTTTATCTTCTCAACTCTGCTTGTTCTGTTGGTTATGATTACACACTGCTAGTTACAATCACAACCGTTAGGTTTATGCAAAGTATATCAGATATACTTCGCTGGTGTGCGAAGTTTTACTGCTACAACTTTGCTCGCTCCTAATTGGTCATAATTATAACTCGCTCGCTCCTGGTTGGTTAGAACATTGCCTGATTGGTTAGAATGTTGCCTGTTAACTTCATGCGGGTTTCTAACAGGTTGCTTGTTAGATTCTTGCGTATTTCTAACAGGTTGCATATATCGATGTATCGATCATATCTTGCCAAACAGGTTTCTGCCCAGGTTCCGTTGTACCTTGTGTGCCATAGTTATTTGATTCTCATTGCGGATGATGTTATTTTTGATCATTGCAAGGTGAATCCTATGGTATATGGTTCTCAACGTGGGGCAGTACGGTCTGATAAGTATGTACTCCTTGGTTTTCTTATCGTCCGGTTTGTTAACGTTCTGCACCTGCATAATGGGTTTTAAATAATTATAATTATTACTAATCTTTTTGAAAGTCTTCTTCATTTTCTGTATATTGTATCCTCGGAACTTGAGTTTGTTCATCAACTTGAAGCTGGCCTCTTTGAATTGTTTAAACTCCGAGGATATGCTGGCGTATCTTACAAACTGTGAATAGATGATGGATTTGAAGATGTGTGGGGGATGGAAGGAGTCATGATGGAGGAGGTCGAACGTGTTGGTGGGTTTAAAATGTGGTTTCGTCATAATGAATGGCGAGTGGGGCAAATCCTTATAAACCGTAACGTCAAGAAATTCGACCTCCTCCATGTCATGCTTGAAATTAATCTTGATTCCCTCGATCATCCCATTCGCTCTTCTCATCACTTCTCCCAGTTTGTCTGTTGTTCCGTTGAATACAAAGAAAATGTCGTCAATGTATCTCTGGTACTTGATCACGTCCGGGAATTCGTTGTTGATCGTGATGTCCAACTCATCCAGGTAGATGTTGGCCAGTGTTGGCGAGAATATCTTGCCCATTGCGCAGCCATTTACCTGGAGGTATTGTTGGTCATTGAAGGCGAAGTCATGGTTACTAAGGACCATCTCTAACGCTTCGATCGTAAATTCATTGAATTTGTTGTCCGGTAGATGTTTCCTCAACGCCTCTCTTGTTATACTAATGGATCTCTGGTTCTTCATATTAGTATAGAGACTGGCGATGTCTGCCGTGACTAGTATCTGGTTCTTGTTCGTCAGGGTAGTGGACATCCTCTTAACAAATTCTCTAGTATCCTTCACCACGTACTTGAGGTTCTTATTGAGTAGCTTGAGTTGGATCTCAATGAACTCCGATATGGGCTGGTTGATGGAAGCCATGTCGCTAATGATCGGTCTCCCTTTGGGCGTAGTTTCATTGATCCACTCATGCTTCTCCTTGTGTACCTTGGGTAAGGTATAGAAGTACCTCTCCCTCGGTTCATCTGGTGGTGCCAGGTCCGCTATCATCTTTTTGTTAAGGATTTTCAGGGCTTTGTACTTGAGTAGTAGGGTCCAGATTTCTTGTCGGTTGTCAATTGGATGTTGAATCTTTCTGTAAAATGTTTCATCCCTTAGTTGTCCCTCTGCCTCTTGTACATAGCTCCTCTTATCCATTATGACGCATATGCTCCCCTTATCAGCTTTCCTTATGACAATATCCTTGTTTGATAGTAATTCTCTGAGGGCCTTTCTTTCTCCACCACTGATGTTGGACTTTTTAAGGTTCGTCCTGATGTACTCCCCTTTCTTCTTACTAACCCATTCGTTCTTTATACTCAATATTTCCTCCGTTGCTGCGATGCAGTTATTCGACAGTTTCGAGGTAGGTGGCATCCAACCTGATTTGAAATATTTCTTGTAGTCCGATAGATATGGGTTTGTGGTATCCGTGGTTTCCTTGTTGTGGCTAAAGTAATCTTTTAACTTTATACTTCTAACCATTCTTTCAATACCCTCTATTACTTCTGATATCCTGATGGTTCTAGGGGTGCATATGAATCCCAATCCTTTATTTAATAGGCTGATCTGTTCCTCTGTAAGTCGATGTCCAGATAGGTTCATGACGTTCGATTGATTACGCTCCATGTGTGGACGCGTATTCCTTACAGGTTTTTTATATTGTATAGAGTGCACTGATTAGCTCTATACGCCTCCATGAATGTCCTAATGCACGTACAGTGCTCTTCATTCCTGCAGGCATTGTTTAGTATACTCTGCCTTCTCATAAAGGATTTGAGAAGTGGATGCGGGTCCTTTTTAATATTCTCCTTGTTGCAGTTAGCATCCTGGAACGGGAGGATATTTTTGACGATATCCACCGACATTTGTCTATTCTGCTCCTTGGGGGATGGGTTGATGATAATGTTTTTATACACCAAGTACCCATCTATTACCTTGGTGTCATTATCAAGGGAAAAGTTGATCCTTTTCCTCAACTCATCCAACCCCTTGAAGCAGCTAAAAATCAGGGTGTTGTTGCCCTCCTTGGTTTTGCGACCTAGGGAGCTAGTCGGGATTGGCTTTCTTACCCCCCCCCTCTGGTGGTTGGAGGTATGTAATTAGAGGATTCCTCTTCCGGTTCCATCTCGTTTTCATTAAGATCCTTAATGAACTCTTGAGTTGGATGGAAGAAGCTAAACATGGTTGTTTGTTTTTGTGGAATCTCCCCCTCCTCTTCCTCTTCAGAGTCTCCTTCTGTTCTGCACCTGTCAATGTTGTTAGTATTATTTTCATAATAATTATTGTTATTATTGTTATCGTTATAACTGTTATTAGTATTAATATTATTTGGTGCTGCGTGTGCGTCCCTGTCTCCCACTGGTCCCTGTGAATGTGCAGGGCCAGGGGTAGGGATGGGGTTAATGATCAGGGACGCACTCGCATCACCCCTATTTTGTTCCCCTATCTCTGTTTGTTGTTGGTTATCCGTGCTGGGGTTCCTTTGTTCCATGTATGTCTGTTGTTGTTTGTCCACCTTGGTGGAGGTTTGTCCCTTGATGTCTGTCTGCTGCCTTTTGTCCACCATCATTGGGATCTCATCCGTCTGTGTCCCTTGGTTCCTTGTTTCTTTACCCACGCGTGCACAGCGTGTGGTTGTGGTGTTCCTATTGTTGTTATTATGTAGTTGTGACTGGTTCGCTTTGGCCCTTTCTATCCTGTTGCTGATATCCCCGAGGCATGCGTCCAATCTCTTAATGGTTTTGTTGTCACCAAGGGCCTTGTTGTTGCTTCCAAATAGGAACACAACTCTCTTCTTCACCTCTCTTATATCTTTAATCTTTATTAGATCCTCATCCTTCAGGATCATCTCACTCTCCATTCTTTTAACCATGTCATCCAGGTGTTCTGTCATGGTTGCTCTGATTTGATGGTAGGTGGCCACCGTTATTTCTTTAATCTTTTCCGTGAGCACTCCATCTTTGCCAGGCGGGTTCAACCTCTCCCCCATCTTCTCAAGGTTGTTCTTAACCGAGGTGGCGTTGTCGTCAGCCCAGTTGTCTCTGTGCCAGTGGGCTTGGATGTATTTAAATAGCATCTTTCCCACCTGCACAATGACTTCGAACTCCTCCTTGGGTAATTGTTTATGTGTTTCTCTATTAGAATGCTGTATGGGGTTGGTGTGTTTGTTTTGCTGCATGGTTTTATCTGTCTTGTTCTTGGTTGTCACGTTCCTATTGTTGGTCGGTATCTGCTTCTTGTGGTTTGATATTTGTTTGTTGTTGTTTGTTGCTATGCTCGTATGTTTGTTGTTAGTTGTTGTGTTTTTGCCTTGTGTTTTAATGGTCGGTTTGTTAATGGTTGTTGTGTTTCGTCCTTGTGTACTGCTGGCCGGTTTGTGTACGTTCAGTACCCTTTGTTTGTCGTCCGGTCGTTCAATCCTGTTCCCGTTTGGCACCCAGTTTACGCGGCGTGTTGTGGTGTGGGGCTCCCGGTAGGCACGATCATGGGTGTGTACCATCTCCCAATGCGGTATGTTGATGTTGTTGATGTTGTTGTTGTAATGGTTGTTGTTGTTGTGGTTGATGTTGTTGTTGTTGTTGTTTTGTTTGTTGTGATTATTGTTGTTGTTGTGGTTGTTGTTGTTTTTTTTGTGTTTGTTGTTATTGTTTTTGTTGTAGTTGTTGTTATTTTTGTTGTCATTGTCGTTGTTGTTGTTGTTGTGGTCGTTGTGGTTGTTGTTGTTGTCGTTGTGGTTGTTGTGGTTGTTGTTGTTTTGGTTGTTGTTGTTGTCGTTGTTGTTGTGGTTGACGTTGCTGTTGTGGTTAGGGCAACGACAAAATTGTTGTTGTGGTTGTTGTGATTGTAGTTGTTGTTGTTGTGGTTGATGTTGTCGTTGTGGTTGTTGTTGTTGTTGTGGTTGTTGTTGTGGTTGTTTTTGTAGTGGTTGTTGTTGTAGTGGTTGTTGTTGTTTTGGTTGTGGTTTTTGTGGTTGTTGTTGTGGTTGACG